AAATGAGCAAGAACGCTCGTTTTTACATCATTCCAGAGATGGCCTTTATTCGAAGTTTCTCAAGAACCATTCGAGCCACAGAATTCGTTTTGGCATCGTTGGATAGAGAAGTGAAAACTCGATTCAGTCGTGACAACGTGACTGAGGAAATTCGAGTAGTTTTGACCCAGAAAGCAAAATTTGAATATCACACACTTAGGTGCAAGATTATGCCAAAATTCCATGTTTTCCGTCTCGTTTTTGCTCATATCTCGGAGGCAAAATGAACAAGAAAGCTCATTTGTACATCATTCGAGAGAGAAGTAAATGGCCTTTTTAGAAAGTAAACCATCGATAAGGAAATGAGGGCGGTTTTCTCAAAAAATGCTTGAATTCAAGAAGTTTTAGGTTTGCGTGGTTTTTTTTGAGTTGCAAAATCCACTTGAACATGACGCTGCTTTTTTCGAAGTTTCTCAAGAACCATTCGAGCCAGATAATTCGTTTTGGCATCGTTGGATAGAGAATTGAATGTGGGGGTCATGATACTCATGACCCCCCCCCCCCNCCGCCCTTGCTCTGAAGATGCAAGCCACTCACGCTTGCGAAACGTCAGCCGTTATTTATTTTGCAGAATTTCAGCAGTAAAAACTTGAACTTACTGTTGCGTTGTATGGGGTTTTGACTCCTGGAGTGTCTTGACAGGGTAAAACGGAGCGGGCATGTGTAGGCTGTAAAAAAATAATTATTATACATACATTCCAAGACTAAATAACCCTTAACAGGTTAATTGTCGTCTTCTTCGACAACCCCCAGATGAAAAATCGGAAATATTCAAAAAAATATACAGTGTATTTGTAAACTATCATTTCATCATCATGAAAACTACTTGGAACATTTTACGTTAGATTAGAATCAATTGGTTGATTAACATGCTAAATTCAGTTATCATTAAGTGGCATTTATCATATTCACTTACTTGAAATTGACTGAATAGATAAGGATGTTTTTTCCCCGCCGTTGCTTTCGGAGAAAGCCATTGAAGGCCTGTTGCATCGGGACTTGTTTCATATTCAATGCCAATCTTGTAACTGTAAAATTTCCAAAATAAAACTAGCCGGCCAATATTTAGCCGGAATAAACCTGCCTGTCCTTTACAACTTCAGGCAATTGAACTGTTAGTTTGGAGCCATATTCAGCCACCGGCTCAGCTAATTCAAAGCTCAGTTTTTCTTTGGTATCCGCGTCGTAGATTGATGCGATATGGAGTTTTAAAGTGTCGAGAATCTGAAACGTTTCGGATGATTTTATTCGAAATATGTATATAGATTGCTTTTATAACAAAGTAGACAATTTACTTTGGCACAGCTACTTACGATTTCATTAGCGGACTTATCGACTCTTTCCACCGTAAGCTGAGTGCTGCCTGAGAGAACTTTCCTGTCAAAGTTCACATTTAAATTGAGTGCAATATTCGTCACTTTGACCAGCTCTAAAAGGGAATCAGTCATATTTAAGGGCAGTTTTTGGTCCATCACTTACCAGGTCGTGAAAACGAGCTTGGATCTAAAGGGCTAAGGCCTGCCTTTCCCATCCTGAATGCAACACACCAAAACAGAAGAAATAAATACGAAAACTCAATTCCGAACTGAAAAACTGTTCTGACGAGACTAATGGGAAGACATGAAATGTTTCAATAGTGATAAAGGAAAATAATCCTGGGGTTTGTGCAGATTAGATTAAACAATTTATGTGGTTGAGGTTACAGCTGACTGCCACTTGTCGTAAAACCAGAACACTGATGTTGACAATATCACAACATCAGAGTATGTCTATTAATTAATGCAAAAATACCGCATTAATTAACGAATTTTATATGCAAATCATCATGTTCGTGCACAACTCCTTTGGTAAAATAAAGTCAGGAGTTAACCTCCAAAAAATTAAAATGTCCATTTAATATACCCCTTTGTCTTGATGTAGCCCATGCTTCTGTAGCTGCAGCTCCAGCCAGTTTTTTTCAGGAAACTCGTGAAAGTCACCCTGAAACCAATCATAACAACACTCCAAAAACTTTCACCGTATAACTTCCACTTTGACGACCTAACCTAAAACGCCAATGTCAGAGCGGAAAATAACTTTGAATTGATAAATATTATCAAACCCACGTTTTCTTTGTATGAATGCTAATTACATACGCATGTATTTAGCATTTACCGTTGATGACAGTGAAACTTCGGAATCTCTATATATAAGTTCTATTTGCGGCAGTGAAAATGACTGATTATGGTCAGTTTATCCAGGAGCTACAATACTAATTCTGGAGTGAGTGGATTCCCCATTTAGACAAGCAACAATTGAGGTGCTCAATTGCGTTCCAGGGAGCGACATTTTTTAGCGAATCTGTTAATATGGCTGATAGAGACAACCTTATGCCACTTTGGGACTCCTTTGGAGGCTTCCAGGAGGTCCCCACTGTGCCACTCTTCAGTTTTCACCTGCTCGTTACTTTGATTCTTGATATTGTTGCTATTGTGTATGCAGTAGTCCATCCGGACGCTGGCAGCAAATGCCGAGAGTATTTTATTATAATCTATCTTCATGTTGCTCTATGGATCATCACTTTTGTAAGCCATCAAACCACCAGATTGATGACCTGTTGCTAAATCACTTCACTTCCAGATTATGCACTTGCTGACTAAATTCCTCCACAATAAAGTGCGCCTAAATGGCTACTTGCAGTTCTACAAAAGCGTCGAGTGTCACGCCAGCTTACCTCTAGTTGTAGTAAGCTTATGGACTGTGGTGCTTCTATTTGTCCAGACCTTGATGCAACATTACTATCCCGATAATTTTTCCGAAATATGCCTGAATGGGGGCACTCTATCACCGAGAGCTTACCTATGTGCGTTGATTACTGTGGAATTCTGCGTGATTACTGGCGTGAACATTAGCTACATAAGTAAGAAATATTCCAAAGTGTTTCCACTAAGCAAACAACCATTCAGTGAACAAATTTCAGTGAAAATCGTGAACTTCAATAAGCAGAAACCACAGGCAGATGTGTACAACAGTGAATGGCTGGCTTCCTTTAATCCAGCCATATTCTCTCAAATTGAGGTTGGCTACGGAGAGCTAGGGAGCAAAGTGATCGAGTTTTTGGAGAAACAGGTAAACTAGAATTCTTCGGATCGCTGCAAGAACAGGTTTTTCTCCGATCCAAATTCCACTGTGCAGCAAATCGTAAAAAGTGGCACTGTTAAAACAGCAATATTTATCATTTGTTCTAGGCCGATTTAATTCACTATCTCAAAGAGCACAATGCCAAACTCAATGAGAAGGTGATATCGTTGAGCACCGAGATGCACAGCAAAATCCCTGAAAATAGTGGAACTGGATCCTCAAATGCAGAACCTTAGTTGAAAGGTTGTTCTGTTTTGTTTAAGGATAAAATAAGGTAAATACTCAATAAAAATATTTGTACTGTTAAACTAATAATAAAGTGGTTTTGCTGTTAGTACAGTATACATTCCAATTCTCTATCCAACGATGCCAAAACGAATTCTGTGGCTCAAATGGTTCTTGAGAAACTTCGGAAAAAGCAGCGTCATGTTCAAGTGGATTTTGCAACTCAAAAAAAAACATGCACATCTAAAACTTCTTGAATTCAAGCATTTTTTGAGAAAACTGCCAACATTTCCCCATACATGGTTCACTTTCTAAAAAGGCCATTTATTTCTCTCTAGAATGATGTACAAATGAGCAAAAGTGGGACGGAAAACATGGAATTTTGGCATAATCTTGCAC